CCTTGTCCGCCCGCCCGGGCCGAGCCCAGCAGGTACTGGGTGGGATGGGTGAGGGTGCGGGAGGATCCGGGGTCTGCAGCTCAGTGCGCCCAACGAGGGAGGCACGTCCCGGAGGGGGACGCGGTTTGGGGCAGGGGCCAAGAGGGAGGGTCTCCGTGCGGTCCGGAGCCTAGGGAACAAGGAAAGGTGGGGGGAATGAATGCATGTACATTGCCCGAGTGAGTGAGGATCCACGCACCCTCATCCTGGGAGGGGGAGGTTGCAGGGTTCACTTTGGGGGAGGGCAAAGCTGTGAGTCTCCAAACTCCATAGATAGGGTTGGAGGTCGGGGAGCTCTCAGGGATGGACAGTGACCCGCAATGACTTAGGAATGGGAAGGAGGTGACCCACCACTGGCCCCTGGATCCAGGGGTTGGGGCACTCAGGGAGGGGTCAGGGAGCCGGGTCTTCCAGCTCTCCCCGGACAGAAGTCCCGGACCCATCTCGGGGCACTGCCCCTGCTGTTCTGGAGGGCTGGCCAGCAGATGGGAGTTCCCGAGGCTGGGGTCTGAGCGGAGAGGCTGATGGAGATGCATCAGAATGGAGGGCCCCCGAGGGAGGCAGCCTCCGGGAGGGCAGGCTAATTGCACCCTGCTGGCTGCTAGCAGGCTCCTGGCGGGTGGTGATGGGGGGATCGGGCCGGCAGCCAGCGCCTTGCTGCACTGGCTCCTGGGCGGCCCATGGGACAGGAGGGCAGGCAGTGCCTGTCTGCCCTGCAGAGCTAGGGCCCTAGGAATACTGGGGGAGGGGAGGGGTGGTGGTGATGAGAAGGGGGATCCTCGGAGACCTTCCTCAACCTCAGCAGGGACACCTGGACTCTGGCTGCGCCCGCTGGGGACCCACAACAGGCCCACATGTCCCAGAAGTTTCTGTTGTGTGCTGATCTGGTTGTGGTACCCGGAAACCCCTGGGTGTGCATCTGGGGGCCAGGGGCTGTCTGCCTTGGGGATTGAGGGGCAGGGGGCACCTTCTGTTGGTCCAGTTCTGAAAAACAGAAATCAATGGCACCGAGCTCTTACAGCCTGCAAAGCATTTGCCATGCAAGATCTCACTCTGTTCTGGACACCAACCCTCGTCGTGGGAGTGGGGGGGGCGGCACCATGGGGAACCTTTACAAAGCAGGTGGCCGAGGAGTGGGCAGTAACTTGCTCCCTGGCAGGGGTGCCTGAGGGCCCCTCCTCAGTGGCTGCCTCAACGAACCTGTCATTTGTAAAAATACTCACTGGAGGGCTCTGGAGGCTTGGCTGGGATTCTGTCTCTTCCCATGTCCTGTTGGGTGGGGAATCTAAGGAGCCATCAGCCCTGCTCCCTGCTACCCTCATCCTCTCCTCAAGAGCTCTCTTGGGTCCCCCCAGGCCTACCAGATTCCCCCGGAAGTGTGTGTCTCCAGGGGAGGGTGTGGAGGGGAGTCTCTGCTCATCCCCCCTACCCCAGGCTTCAGGGAAGGGAGATCTCATGACCAGACAGAGTAGTAAAAGTAAGGCAATACTTTCCGGCCCAAATACACCCTGTAGGATGTTTTGTTGTTGTTGTTTGTTAGAGATGGGATATTCCTAGTTGTTCAGGCTGGTCTCGAGCTCCTGGGCTCAATCAATCTCCTGCCTCGGCCTCCCGAGTAGCTGGAACTATAGGTGCATACCTGGCTAATAGGGTTGTATTCCTCACTTGGCAAACCCAGGACTGTTACCCAGAAAAACATACCCTTTCATGGACATCTAAACCTTGGCTGAGGGTTCCCAGGGGCTCCTGGGTCTCTGGGAATCCCTGAGGGTCCCAGAGACTCCAGTGTTAGGCCCAGATTGCAGTGGGGGAGGGGATGTGTACCCAGGAATGGGGAAGGCCCAGGCACTCATCAGTTCTGTGCTCCAAGCTCGTGGCTTTTCAAGGGCAGGACCAGGCTGGTTCCCCTCCCAGAAAGCAGACCCTGCCACCTGCCACACCTGGATGGCACTAATTTAGTCCCTGCCTTTCCTGGCTGGATGACCTTGGGCAAAAGGTGCTGAGCTTCTCTGAGCTCTGTCTCCCGTCTGTAAAATGGGAACGAGAATGCCACCTTGCTCACCAGTGGTGATAGGGATTAAATGTGATCCTCCTGATCTCAGGCTCAAAACACAGTAAGAGCCCCGTCCACGATAATGTGCTAGATGCTGGGAAAGCCCTCCACCCCTCCACCCCTCCACCCTCTTGGAAGCCACCTGCCATTTCTCTCCTCCTCCCCACCCCCTCCCTGCCCAGGGCACCTTAGGACGCGGCTGCCAGGCAAGGAGGAACATGGCAGACACACGGCTGAATTTGGCCCATGCGTCGGGTGGCTGAGTCACATCCCCAAATTGCATCTTCATTGGTGCGTTTCAGAAGGTCGTTTGCAGAGGCCCTCAGAGGCCCATACCCCTTCTGGGTTCTGTCTGCCCGGCCACCCGCTTCTCTTCCCTGTGCCCCCCGTCCCCAGCCGGGGAAGTTTTGCCGCCTCAGATGGTGGAAAGGGTGCCTGGGTTTTCCTGGGCTCCCTGGATGAGGGCACGATCTGGGGTCCCTGTGTGCACCCTAGTGCAAGTTCCCAGCCCCACCTGGCAGCCAGCAGACATTCAGGTGGTAGGCAGGGGTTTGAGCCTCGGAGCGGAAGCCCCACCTAAGTATATGTGAGGTTAGGGAAAGATCAGGGCCAAGGTCACAGTTTGAGGCTTCACAAACTGTCAAATGCTGGGCCCACAGGAGACCAGGTCTTATAGGCTGTAAAGTGCTGGGCCGGCAGGAGTTCAGGCCTGATAAACTATGAAGTACTAAGCCACATGAGGCTAGGCCTGATAAACTGGGAAGTGCTGGGTCTGCAGGAGGTCAGGCCTTATAAGCTATGAAGTGCCTGGTTATAGGAAACCACAGCCTGATTGATGTGATGGATGAGGGTGGGAAGGGGCGGGACAAGTTCTGAGACTCATGAGGTCACCTGACCATCAAAGGAATAACTTTTTTTTTTTTTTTTTTTGAGACAGGGTCTCACTCTGTCATCCAGGCTGGAATGCAGTGGCGTGATCTCGGCTCACTGCAACCTCCACTTCGCGGGTTCAAGTGATTCTTGTGCCCCAGCCTCCCAAGTAGCTGGGATTATAGGCGCCCACCACCACGCCCAGCTAATTTTTGTATTTTTAGTAGAGACAGGGCTTCACTATGTTGGCCAGGCTGGTCGCAAACTCCTGACCTCAGGTGATCCACCTGCCTTGGCCTCCCAAAGTGTTGGGATTACAGGCGTGAGCCACTGTGCCCAGCAGTTTTTACCATGTTGGCCAAGCTGGTCTTGAACTCCTGACCTCAAGTGATCCACCCGCCTCAGCCTCCCAAAGTGCTGAGATTACAGGCGTGAACCACCATACCCGGCCACGAAGGAATGATTCTTGCACTCCTGTGTGCTGACACCAGTATCTGGAAACACATGGTGAGGGACAGACACAGTGTAGGGGGTGCGGGACAAAGGCACAGGTGGTCCTGCAATGTGTGCGGTGGCCAAAGTCACCCAGCAATGTAGCTCCTTTTATTTTTTTTTCTTTGAGACAGAGTCTCAGTCTGTCGCCCAGGCTCCAGGTTGGATTGCAGTGGTGTGATCTCAGCTCACTGCAGCCCCCACCTTCTAGGTTCAGGCGATTCTCCTGCCTTAGCCTCCCGAGTAGCTGGGATTACAGGTGCCCGCCACCACACCTGGCTAATTTTTGTAGTTTTAGTAGAGACAGGGTTTCTCTATGTTGGTCAGGCTGGTCTCAAAACTCCTGACCTCCAGTGATCCGCCCACCTCGGCCTCCGAAAGTGCTGGGATTATAGGTGTGAGCCACCGCGCCCGGCCAGTGTGGCTTATCTTGCTGTGTCCTTGAATGACGGTCTCTTAGTCTGTCACCCCCAGTGGGGGTGAAAAGTGTCCTGCCTGTGCACACAGCTGCCCCCCCAACCCTTCTCCCAGGCCTGGCACACAGGGGACCCCCCAGCGCACGCTGTTGTGATCATTTCAAAGGGGATAGCACTTGGCCTTCCACCCACCCCTGCCCAGCTTGTTGGGAAAATCTCACAAAGGAGCCGGGTCCAGAATCTTCCTTTCAGGGAGAAGGTGTGTCTTCAGGCAGGTTATTTTATTTTACTTTCATTTTTATTTTATTTTATTATTTTATTTTATTTTATTTTTTGAGATGGCGTTTTGCTCTTGTCGCCCAGACTGGAGTGCAATGGCATGATCTCGGCTCACTGCAACCTCCACCTACCGGGTTCAAGTGATTCTCCTGTCTCAGCCTCCTGAGTAGCTGGAATTACAGGCATGGGCCACCACGCCTGGCTAATTTTTTGTCTTTTTAGTAGAGACAGGGTTTCACCATGTTGGTCAGGGTGGTCTCGAACCCCTGACCTCAGATGATCTGCCCCCCCTTGGCCTCCCAACATGCTGTGATTCCAGGCGTGAACCAGCGTGCCCGGCCCAGGCAGGTTTTTTCTCTTTTTTTTTTTCTCTTTTTTCTTTTCTTTTTTTCTTTTTTTTTGTGACAGAGTCTTGCACTGTCGCCCATGCTGGAATGCATTGGCGCAATCGCTACTCACTGCACGCTCCGCCTCCTGGGTTCAAGTTATTCTCCTGCCTCAGCCTCATGAGTAGCTGGGACCACAGGTGCCTGCCACCACACCCAGCTAATTTTGTTTTTGTATTTTCAGTAGAGACGGGGTTTCACCGTGTTAGCCAGGATGGTCTCGATCTCCTGACCTCGTGATCCGCCCACCTCGGCCTCCCAAAGTGCTGGGATTGCAGGCGTGAGCCACTGCGCCCGGTCCCCAGGCAGGTTCTTTCACAACATCGTGCCACAGTTTCCCCATCTGTAAAACTGGCCAAATCCCAGGACCCACTTCTTGGCAGTATTAGGATTCAGGAGAACATTTACATAAAGAATGGAGCCTGGGACCAGGCACAATGGTCCATGCCTGTAATCCCAACACTTAGGGAGGCCAAGGAGGGAGGATCACTGGAGCCCAGGAGTTCAAGACCAGCCGGGGCAATGTAGCAAGACCTGATCTCTACTAGAAATAAAAATAAATCATCTACAGCTGAACACTACATACCACCCTGAACACGCCTGATCTCATCTGATGTCGGAAAAATAAATCATTAGCTGGGTGGGGGGGATGGTGCATACCTGTAGTCCTGGCTACTTGGGAGGCTGAGGTGGGAGGATCCCTTGAGCCCAGGAGTCCGAGGCTGCAGTGAGTTAGGATCGCCTCACTGCACTCCAGCCTGGGCTACAGAGCAGGTAGGGAGTGCATTTGAGGGTCTGAGATACTGGGCTGGGCAGGGCAGGGGAGAATCTAGCAAGTTGGATCCAGAGACTCAGACAGCCTCATCAGTGCTTTGGTGAGCATGTCTGTGTCACCATCAATTGAGGTCCCTCCTCTCACACATGATGCCACAGGGCATTGCTCTGTAATCACACAGGATGCTCTTCAAATAGCCTGGCAGGGAAACTGAGGCTGGCCTGAGGTCATAGAACCCAGCCAAGCATGTCTTACATCTTACAAAGCCCTGCAGAATCGCTTCCAGATCTTGGAGTTAAATCCTGCATTGCCACACTGGTCCTGGAATCTGTTTAGAGATTATGAATCCCCGCCTGCCCAGGCAGGAGGGAGCCTCAGAATCGCTGTAGCCAGGGTCCCTAATGTCCCATAGGCCACAATGCAGGAGCCTACAAATGCAGCAGGCACAGTGAGGTGAGGTTAACTCATCCAGGAGTCTGAAGGTTGGAAGAGGATAAGTGCAGATGAAAACCACCCTCTAAGCATACCATTGGCCACCCTATCCTCCCAGGCAAGCCCGTTGGTAGATTTCATCTTCCAGCGTTCAGCAAGTGTTTCCTGAGTGTCATCTGTTTGCTAGGCATTGTTCTAGGTACTTGGATACACATAAAGTCAGCAGGCAGGGGTCTGGGAGGTAGTGGGGGGCATTCCAGGCAGAGGGCACAGCCTGTGCAAAGGCTCAGAGAAGGATGAACTTGTTGGAATCTGGTGATCGGGAGACCATTGTGGCTGGAGGGATTGGGTCTGGGGAGAGTAAGAAGGATGAGATAGGTGGGAACCAGATACAGAGGGCCCCTTGGCCATAGTGAAGAGTTTGGTGTTTTATTTTATTTGTTTTTGTTTTAGAGATAAGGTCTTGCTATGTTGTCCAGGCTGGATTTAAACTCCCAGGCTCAAGCAGTCCTCCAGTCTCAGCCTCTAAGTAGCTGTGATTACAGGTGTGCACCACCAGGCCCAGCTCTGGAGTTTCTTTGTTCTGTTTGGTTTTTTTTTTGAGACATAGTCTCACTCTGCCACCCAGGCTGGAGTGCCATGGCATGATCTTGGCTCACTACAGCCTCTGCTTCCTGGGTTCCAGCCATTCTTCTGCCTCAGCCTCCCAAGTAGCTGGGACTACAGGCGTGTACCATTACGCCTGGCTAATTTTTGTACTTTTAGTAGAGACTGGGTCTCGCCATGTTGGCCAGGCTGGTTTCAAACTCCTGACCTCAAGCGATCCTTCTGCCTTGGCCTCCTAAGTAGCTGCAATTACCAGAGCTGCACCACCGTGCCCAGCTCTCCGAAGTTTATTTTTTCAATGAGACGGCACTGGGGAGCCATGGGAGGGCTTTGAGCAGGGGAGGGATTCAGGCTGACTCAGATGTTTCTGGGATGGTAAACCCACGTGCCAGCACTCTGGGCCACTCCCAAACTTAGAACGTTCTGGGATGGGTCCTTGCCTTTCTGGTCAGTAAGCTGGACCCTGCTGTGACCACGTCCCTCTGTCCCCTTGCAGGACAGTGCAGGAGCCCAGCCGCTGAGCCATGCCGGGCCCCGGGCGGCCTGCAGCGAGCCCAACCCCTGCACCCAGGTAGTCATGAACAGCCACAGCTACAATGGCAGCGTGGGGCGGCCGCTGGGCAGCGGGCCAGGCGCCCTGGGACGAGACCCTCCGGACCCCGAGGTCGGCCGCCCCCCGCAGCCCCCGCACAGCCCGGGCCTCCAGGTGATAGTGGCCAAGAGTGAGCCAGCCCGGCCCTCACCCGGCAGCCCCCGGGGACAGCCCCAGGACCAGGACGATGACGAGGATGATGAGGAAGATGAGGCCGGCAGGCAGAGGGGCACGGGGAAACCCTCAAATGTGGGCCACCGCCTGGGCCACCGGCGGGCACTCTTCGAGAAGCGGAAGCGCCTCAGCGACTATGCTCTCATTTTTGGCATGTTTGGCATCGTCGTCATGGTGACGGAGACCGAGCTGTCCTGGGGGGTGTACACCAAGGTAGGTGCGGTCCTCCCCCAGGCGCTCCAGGGAGGTTCCACCAGGCCCACCTAGCTTTCTTGACATGGGGTTGGGGGTGGCAGGACCCCCCAGGAGGTAGGGAGTGTTAGGGGGCTCCTGGAGGTGAGGGCTCCCTGGCCTTCTGCATACCCACCTCCGGGAAGGTAGCAGGGAGGCTGCACGTGGGGAGGGAAGGTTCCAGCCCATTCCCTGGCCAGGTGGCTTAAGGCGGAGGGGGGTTTCCCCCCAGGACAGGGGGTCCCCAGAGTGGGCCTGCTCTGGAGAGCAACAGAACAGCTTCCTCCCCTTCCGAGAGTGAGTGCGTCCAGGTCACAAGCCTGGCTGTGGGTTCCCTCCTGCCACCTGGAGAGAGATCAGGGCTGTGTCAACCTATAAACTGTGAAGTGCTGAGGCTGGATGAGGTCAGACCTTGTGAATTGTGACATGCTGTGCCCATGTGAAGCCAGGCCTTATAAACTGTGACGTGCTGTGCCCATGTGAGGCCAGGCCTTACAAACTATGAAGTGCTGTCCCCATGTGAGGCCAGGCCTTATAAACTGTGAAGTGCTGTCCCCATGTGAGGCCAGGCCTTACAAACTATGAAGTGCTGTGCCCATGTGAGGCCAGGCCTCATAAACTGTGAAGCACTGGACACATTTTGCTGTCAGCCTGGTCCCTAGGAATAAGGCCAGGAGAGCACCACTTCCTGAACACAGCACCTGCTGCACGCCCAGCCCTGATAAGCTGTTTCACACACAGTGGCCCCAGGACTGGGGAACTAGCAGAAATTCGGGGTACAGTGGGAGAAGCCACTGGGAAGAGCCCCATTTGGCTGACTCCCATGCCCAGGAGCCAGGGTAGGGGGATGGGAGGGCCGCCGGCCCGCCGCCTCCAGCATCCATCCGGTTGTGTCCTCTCTCTTTACCCAGGAGTCTCTGTACTCATTCGCACTCAAATGCCTCATCAGCCTCTCCACGGCGATCCTGCTAGGTCTCGTTGTCCTCTACCATGCCAGGGAGATCCAGGTCAGTGCTGAATGCTGCCAGGAAGCAGCTCCTCTCTTCAAACCCCCGACACCAGCCCACCTTTAATTTTCATTGATTATTTACAAAAAATAACAGGTAGTGAGAAGTGAGGGGCTGAGCTGGGACTCTGGGACACACGGGTTTTTTCCAGGCTGGAGTGCAGTGGCGCGATCTTGGCTCACTGCAACTGCCGCCTGAGTTCAAGTGATTGTCCCGCCTCAGTCTCCTGAGTGGCTGGGATTACAGGTGCCTGCCACCACGCCTGGCTAATTTTTGTATTTTTAGTGGAGATGGGGTTTACCATATTGGCCAGGCTGGTCTCGAACTCCTGACCTCAGGTGATCCGCCCACCTCGGCCTCCCGAAGTGCTGGGATTACAAGCATGAGCCACCGTGCGCAGCCTATTCAACCTTAACGAAAGAATGAAACACCACAACAACAGAAATGTATTGTCTGAAAGTTCTGGAGTGTGGAAGTCTGAGATCAAGGTGTGAGCAGTGTTGGTTCCTTCTGAAAGCCATGAGACAGAATCCGTTCCAGGCCTCTCTCCTAGCTTTTGGTTGCTGCTGGCAATCTGGGGGATTCTCGGCTTAGGAGATGTGTCACTCCAATCTCTGCCTTGATGATCACATGATGTTCTCCCTTTGAGAGTGTCTGTGTCCAAATTTCCTCTTTTTTAGATAAGAACACCAGTCAGTATTGGATTAGGGCCCACTGTAATTAGATGATTCCACTTTTTTTTTGAGACAGAGTTTCGCTCTGTCACCCACACTGGAATGCAGTGGCTTGATCACGGATCACTGCAGCCTCGGCATCCCGGGCTTACACAGTCCTCCCACCTCAGTCCCCAAGTAGCTGGGATTACAAACACTTGCCATCATGCCCAGCTAAGTTTTAATTTTTTTGCTTTTTTTTTTTTTTTTTTTTT